TTTACTTAAAATATTTTGTAATGTTGATATATGGAACTGGTTTACAATATGAAGGATTTTTTTTAAGGATAAAAAGAAGGTAAATCGGGGGAGATAGGAGTGCTAAGATAAAAGTGTGTACCTAAGAAAGCCACAGAGTGGAAGAGGGCGAAGTCGGGGCTCAGGAGGAGCAAAGATGTAAGCGATGCTTTGATTTCATGGATATGGGATAAAGTACAAAACGAAAACCTAATAAAAAATTTATATATATAGAAAATAGATTAATCAGGATTCTGCCTTTGGGTAAAGGGCAGGGAGAGGGAAACTGGGCTCCTCTCGGTTCTTTCTGTGCCTGACTGAGATAAAAATAAAGGGAACAGGGTTGCTGAACTAAAAAAATTATATATATATATATATATATATATATTTGCTATTTTAGGGGTTGTTTTTAAAAGTCTGGAACAGATTAATCCATTTTGCATTGCTTTCTGTGGGAAAGCACACCTTGGTTTTAAAACGCTTTGTTATTGGAACGGACTTCCGGAACGGATTAAGTCTGAGAACCAAGGTCCCACTGTAGCCCCCCCCCCCCCCAGGAGCTGAAATCAGACAAGCCTCCTCCACCGCCTCCGCCTCGTCCTCCATCAGAGCCAGGCAGGTGCAGTTTGTTCGAGGCCAAGGCCAGTGCAGGAACACGATGGAGGCCATCTGGGTGCTATGGCAACTCATGGGCACCAGAACAGGGAATAAAGGGACCCCCCCCTTCTTCCTTGCACTCCTGAGTGGGGAGGGGTCAGCCCAGAGGTGCTTAGCTGGCCTGCTGGGGAGGGGGAGAGCTACCAGAGCGGCAGCCTAGCAAGGGAGCCCCTTGTGCCATTTGGAAGCTGGCTGGCCTGTGGGCTGTGCTGGGTCTCCCCTTCTGTGGGGCCAAGGTGGCGGGTCCTGGCTGGGGCTGAGGGGCTGCCCCAGAAGAGGGGGGCACCTGCTGCCCTGCCTGTGCCCCTCACCAGTGGCGTAGCGTGGGGGTGCAGGGGGGGGGCCGGCCGCACCGGGCGCAACATCGGGGGGGGGGGGGCACGGAAGAGACTCGAGTGCTAAAATCCACGGGTTAGGGGGCGTAAATTACTTGCCTTGCCCCGGGTGCTGACAACCCACGCTACGCCACTGCCCCTCATCCAGCCTTTGCGGTGTGAGGGGAGTCACAGCCAGAGCCAGGTTTGCATAACGGTTGAGAGCGTTAGACTGGGGCAGGGGAGGGACTAGTGTTCAAATCCTCCCACTCAGCTCTCCCCCTTGGGGGCCAGTCTCTCTCTCTCAGCCTAAGCTACAAAGGCCACCCTACAATACGATAATACGATACGATACGATACGATAATCTTTATTGTCATTGTCCCATACAGAACAATGAAATTGAAAATCTACATCAGACATTCAGAAACCAACAAGCCTGCTATCCCAGCTATCCCAGCCTGGTTAGCCCCCTAAAAACTCTGATTCCCCATAATTATACACCATATACTCACATAAAGGCTACCTTACACTGCGTTTAAAACCAACATCGCATTTGAATAGAAACTGTTTCTCAGGCAGCTAGTGCTAGTCTTTATAACCCTGTACCTTCTTCCAGAAGGCAGAAGCTGAAAGAGATCATTTCCGGGGTGCACATTATCCTGCCCTATCTCTGCAGCTTTCTTATGGCACCTGGAAGCATAGATTTGATCCAAGGTAGGGATCCTCTCACAGGGGCCAACCTGATTCCCTCTAATGGAAGACCCCCAAGCAGGACCTGGGCACAGCAGCCGTGCCCCCCCCCCCCCCAGTTTCCAGCAGCTGGTCTTCAGAAGCATTTATGTGCTTTGGTGTGTGCAGAGAACCTTTGCTAGCCTGGTCTCCCTCCCTCCCTCTCTCCATCCTCTGCTTTCTTCCCATCTCCCCCTCTGGTTTCTTGCTTCCCCTCACCCAAAGCAAAGCCCTCGGCTTCTGATGGCTCTCTTCCCCAGCAGAGGGCAAAGCGGGTGGTCCCTGTCCCTGGTGCTGAAAGAAGGGAGCCCTGATAGGGTGCCTGTTGACCGCTGTCCAAGTGCTGAAGACTGGGCAACACCCGCCCCCCTCCCAGCACTATTGCTTGTGGGAATTGCTGTTTTGGGCACCCGTCTGTCTCAAGAGACAATGGAGTGCATCTCCAGGGGTGACGGCAGACCAATGGGGAATCACAGCTCCCGCTGCGGCTGCAAAGACCTCAACAACTACATGCAGCCGCTGGGAGAGATCATCAGGGGGTCTGGGCTGGGTTTTGATCAGTATGCGGATGATACCCAGCTCTACCTCTCTTTCAAATCAGAACCAGTGAAGGCGGTGAAGGTCCTGTGTGAGTGCCTGGAGGTGGTTGGTTGGTGGCTAACAGATTGAGGCCAAATCCTGACAAGACAGAAGTACTGTTTTGGGGGAACAGGTGGCGGGCTGGTGAGGGGGACTCCCTGGTCCTGAATGGACCAGGTGTGCAGCCTGGAAGTCATTTTGAACTCACAGCTGTTCATGGAGGCACAGGTCAATTCTGTGTCCAGGGCAGCTGTTTATCAGCTCCATCTGGTACGCAGGTTGAGACTCTACCTGCCCGCAGACTGTCTCGCCAGAGTGGTGCATGCTCTGGTTATCTCCCGCTTGGACTACTATATGCACTCTATATGAGGCTACCTTTGAAGGTGACCTGGAAACTACAACTAATCCAGAATGCAGCAGCTAGACGTGACTGGCAGCAGCCGCCAAGACCATATAACACTGGTCTTGAAAGACCTACACTGGCTCCCAGTATGTTTCCGAGTGCAATTCAAAGTGTTGGTGCTGACCTTTAAAGCCCTAAATGGCCTCAGTCCAGTTTACCGCAAGGAACGTCTCCACCCCCATCCTTCTGCCCTGACACTGAGGTCCAGCACCGAGGGCCTTCTGGCGGTTCCCTCGCTACGAGAAGCCAAGTTACAGGGTACCAGGCATAGGGCTTTCTCGGTGGTGGCACCTGCCCTGTGGAACGCCCTCCCACCAGATGTCAAAGAGAAAAATAACTACCAAACTTTTAGAAGACATCTGAAGGCAGACCTCTTTAGGGAAGCTTTTAATGTTTAATAGGTTATTGTATTTTAGTGTTCTGTTGGAAGCCACCTAGAGTGGGTGGGGAAACCCAGCCAGATGGGCGGGGTATAAATAATAAATAATAAATAATAAATAATAAATTATTATTATTATTATTACTACTACTACTACTACTTGTAATGGCTGCCTCCGTCTCCGGGGCGCAAGCCTGGGCAGTGTGCATGGAGGACCTGGGATGCTCCATCTCAGCTTCCCTGATGGGCTCCAAAGGAAAGCAGACCAAGACATTTGGCACCGGCTTGGCTGCAGGAGTTGCCGGGGGGAGGCGGACCAGGCACCATCCAACTCCTTAGGGACTCTCCTCCCACCTGCAGGGATCAGGACCAGCCCCGCCTTTCAGGCACCTGCTGTGGGCGTCCCAGGTGGGCACCCTCACCTGGCATCATTTCCCACCACTTAGAAAGGCTCCGTCTTCCCTGACCATCTCCCCTGAAACCAGAAACTGCTGACAATCAGTCCTGCGAAGAGATGAGTCAGGTATTAATTTGGGCTGCGGGAAAAGGCATTTGAGTGGGCGTCGGAATGCAAATCCTCTTGTTTTCCTCTCGTGCCCATGAAATGCCAAGTCTTTGTCTCTCTGAGGAGGAGACGAGACCCCCCTCAGCCGGGATCGGTGAACTTCCCCGCGTGCACATTTTAACCCATGGAAAGGGGGTTGAGTGATTCCCCCCATCGCCTCCCCGTCTGTGGCTGCTCACCTCTTCGCTCGGCTCTGTTGGCACTTGGGTTCCATAACGCAGAAGATGCCTCTCACTACAAGTTGCCTCTTGCCTCCGGCAGCAAACGCTCCTCCGCCAGCTCCTCCTCCCTCGTCGCTGTGTCTCTGGGCGAAAAGGACCTCATCCATCACACTCTGCCATCCTACCCTCAGGCTTCCTTGCTCTCCGCGTGGCTCAGCTGCTTGGGGATTCCTCTGGAGGAGTGCGGCCTTGATTGGTGACAGCTTTGCCAGAGAAACGCCCGAATCCCGCAGGCACCGCAGTTGCTTTCCTGAACCTGTGATTTCTTCCCTTCCCTCACGCCCATCAATCTCCACCTTTGCCTTAACGAAGCCACTCTTGCAGCTCCACTGCCGTTCGACCCCATTGAGACAATCAGGAACATCCGTCCCCCCCACAGCTAGGAATGCTTCATCTCAAAGAGGGCACCCCTCAGATATTTTATTTTATTTATTTATTGAATTTACCGTATTTTTTGCTCCATAAGACTCACTTTTCCCCTCCTAAAAGTAAGCGGAAATGTGTGTGCGTCGGATGGAGCGAATGCAGGCTGCGCAGCTAGCCCAGAAGCCAGAACAGCAAGAGGGGTTGCTGCTTTTACTGCGTAGCGATCCCTCTTGCTGTTCTGGCTTCTGGGATTCAGAATATTTTTTTCTTGTTTTCCTCTTCCAAAAACTAGGTGCATCTTATGGTCTGGTGCGTCTTATAGAGTGAAAAATACGGTATATACTGCCCTATGTGGGATGCGGGTGGCACTGTGGTTTAAACCACAGAGCTTAGGGCTTGTCGATCAGAAGGTTGTCTATTTGAATCCCGTTGTTCGGTCCCAGATCCTGCCCACCTAGCAGTTCGAAAGGATGTCCAAGTGCAAGTAGATAAATGGTGTTTCCATGCGCTGCTCTGCTTCACTGCTCTGGTTCGCCAGAAGCGGCTTAGTCATGCTGGCCACATGACCCAGAAGCTGTCTGCGGACAAACACTGGCTCCCTCGGCCTATAGAGCGAGATGAGCGCCACAACCCCAGAGTCATCCACGACTGGACCTAACGGTCAGGGGTACCTTTACCTTTATACTGCCCTATACCAGGATATCTCAGGGCAATTCACATAAAAAGATCACAGTTTGTAAAATAAAAACACAAGCAATAACCCAGCAATACCCCCCAAAAGAGTCACATTTTAAGAGTATGGGATGTTGATCAGGTCAACCAAAGGCCTGGTTAAAAAAGTGCCTAATGGTGAAGGCGCCAGGCGAACTTGCCTGGGGAGAGCATTCCACAGATGAGGAGCCACTGCAGAAAAGGCCCCGTTCTCCTGCCAGCTTCTCCCTTGGGGGTCCCTCCAGAAACTGCTCTGCTGCCTTCTAGATCTTAGGGGCCAGAAGTCTGGCTCCAGGGGGGTTCAGGTGATGCCGATCCCTTTCTGGTGCCTAGACATAATGATAAATAATAGTGATTCCTGCACTGCAGTGGCTGGACTAGATGATCCTTGGGTCCCTTTATGTTTTCAGGAAGCCCAGAGTCCTCTCCCCGACACCACCATCCAGGCCGTGCTCTGAGGCTCCTCAGCTCCGTCTAGCTGGGTTGTAAACAGCTGCAAAGGGATCTGTGGTGCAGTGTGGTGTAGTGGTTAAGAGCGGTAGTCTCATAATCTGGGGAACCGGGTTCGTGTCTCCGCTCCTCCACATGCAGCTGCTGGGTGACCTTGGGCCAGTCACACTTCCTTGAAGTCTCTCAGCCCCACTCACCTCACAGAGTGTTTGTTGTGGGGGGGGGGAAGGAGAATGTTAGCCGCTTTGAGACTCCTGAAGGGGAGTGAAAGGCGGGATATCAAATCCAAACTCTTCTTCTTCTTCTTCTGTGTCAGGGCACAAAGATGCTCTCGATTTCGCACGTCTGCTCCCGGGGTCTGAGGTGCTGGTGACTGAACAGGAAGGAGAACTTGGGGTTGCAGTGGGGACCTGGGCGAAGATGGTGGCCCAACGTGTGGCGGCTTTGGGAAAGGCAAATGCCATGCAACTCTGAGAAGCGGACGGGGCGCTGGTCTGATGCAAGAGGTCTGCTCTCATGTTCTGACATTCGCTGACAAAAATGGAAGAGTCCTGAGCCCGGGAGCATCTTTTGGGGTGCAGCCCAGTGGGTTCGTTGCACTTCAGGGACAGAGCAGTTCATGCACATTAATTGTATATATCTATATGGTGTTACTGGAATTTATGCAAAGGTTGGGGGGGGGGTTGCCCCTCCAGCGGACGTCATTCACACACACACACACACACACACACACACACACACACACACAACCAAAATCAACACAATCACTCCTGCATCTGTCCCCACAAAACACTTCAGCACACAGGTGCCCCCCCATCTCTATTCAAAGGGCCTCTGCTGCACATTACCAAATGCAACAATTCACTGATAAATGTGTTTACGCACTGGCTCCCTGGGAAAACTTTAGAAAGTCATACAAAATCACTCCAGTTTGGATTTGCACCATTCCAACTTTGTTCTGTTCAGAAAAGGAATGGCTACCAAGAGGGGAGCCTGGGATGTGGGCAGCCATAATCGCTCAAGCCTGAGATCAGGTACTCAGCAACCTCTTGCATGGGAGAGAATTGCTCGCATCCTGGCCCCTGAGCGCCAGACAGGTAGCCATTCCAGAGACAATGGCAAACCATCCAGGAATGGTCAGGACAAAGGAGGGTGATTACCTTGACCAGGAAGACTGGAACCTGTCAATGTTTCCCTTTGCATCACTTGATAGGTGTGAGGTGGAGATCATGAGAGGGATGGGGGCAAACTTGATACTCAGGTTTCTGTCGCCAGACCCTCTCAGTTTGTGATGTATTCATGATGTATGCATGATGCTACATTGGGGTGTTGTGGGTATCTTTGTGAAACTGATAAAAGTGGGAGCCATCCTTTGCTCTGGGCTTCTTCCTGCTTCTCCCATGGGGTGGGTGGAAGTCCTGCTGCAACAGTTCTTTGAATAAAGACCAGGCCTACAGGCGCTGTTTTGCTCCAGTTTCTTGGCTGGCGTCTTTGTTTGGCAATCCAAGGGAGCCCAGGAGATTTCCTTTAACAACAGGAACCCTTGAGCATTCAACTGCACACGGCACAAGGCTTCACTCTTGAACTCACTCCTGTGGGAGACAGTGATGTCCACCAACCCAGAGAGATTTAAATGAGGATGAGACTAATTCACGGGGGAAGAGAGGGCTATTGATGGCTACGGTCAGTGAGGGCCAGCCTCTGCCTCCACAGTTGCTGGAAACCCCAGAAGGGAAGCGTGGCTCTTGAGCTCGGATCCTGCTTGTCTGTTTCCCACTGGCATCTGAGAACAGTGTTGTAAACAAAAATCTGCCCTTTCCCCCTTATGGAGTATCCAAGAGCCCATATAGAGTCCTTACATAGGTTCCCTATTGGTAGGAGAAAAGAACAGAGGCCAATCAGAAAATATTGAGAAGCAAAGTAAGCCTGATCTTTATTGATCTGGTGCAACAGGGTCCTCACTCACCACACGCAGGAGGGAGAGGGAACCCAGAACAAAGGGTGCCTGCCCTTATATAGACATTTAAATTCCCTCCCTGGAGTCCAAGACCACCCTCAGAAACATCATACATACATCACAAAAGGGGTGTAGCCCAAGACCAACCCCCCCATATACATCATACCTACATCACAGAAAAGGCTGTCTACAGCAGAAATCTGAAGTGCCTTGTTTATCTCGTCTGACAGGTTTACCTGTTAATGCTCACTTGATTGGATACCCTGGGGAGCCTGGCCAGTCTTTTGTAATGATAAATACTTAGTTCCTGGGCCAGGTCACAGGCTCACACCCTATTCATATCTTAAATGTGCCCTTAAGACAGGATTTGTGAAGGAAAAGACAATGGGGAGGCTTTTCCATTTTCCTTTGACCTTGCAGAGAAAACATTGGCTCAGTTTAGGAATCAAAATGGTTCCAGGTCGGTCTTCCTGTGCTTGCTTGGTTGGTACACTTATGAACATTTAACATATATCTAAGACCTCAAAATTCCTATCACAACAGGAGGCTGGACTAAATGGGCCATTGGCCTCTTACACTGTCAATGGTAGAGGACCTGCTTTGTATGAGGTCCTGGGTTCAGCTCCCTGCAGAATCTCTGACGAGGAGATCCTGCCCGCAACCCTGGCGACCTGCTGCCTTTCAGAGCAAGCGATCTCAGGGTGGGGCCTGCCTGGGCCAAGGAGGCAGCTTTCTGCTGTGGGATGTAACATGAGCAGTCAAATACAACATTTCCTGTTTGCCCAGAGAGGTCACACAGAGGGGATATTACTCCAGCCAGAACCTCCTGTCCCACCTGGTCTGGAGCATCCTTCCTTTGCATGTGACCAGGTAGGTGGACGTGACCCTTGCAGACCCCACAGAAGGTCCCTTCACAAAGCCACCTTCCTCTCTTTTGATGGCTTTTCTTCTCTTGGACTGTGGGATGAGTTCCCATCTGGGGTGAACTCAAACCCTCTTCTGTAACTCTAAGCTAAAGTTGGACTTCAGGGATCCAGCTGTGAACTAAATGTGAGTAAACTTCTTATTAAAAGAAGACCGTTGTGTCTTTATTCTTTTAGGAGGGAATCAAAGGGGTCTTACCAGGAATAACAGAACTTAAAGAGATTCTCACGAATCTGCAACCAGCTTCCTGCTGTGTAAAGAGGGAATGCAATCTGCTGTATGAAGAAACTTGCTAGTGCGAGTTAGGAAGGATAATATTTACTCAATATATCCTCTCCTGCTACCCACAACATTCCCACACCTGCCCCTGCGCTCCTGGAAGAGGTTGGCCTGTCAGTAGCTGCAGCAGCTTCTGGCCCTGTTAGCTGTTGCAGAGCCCCGTTCCCAACAAATTTCAGGGAAAGGCAGGCTGGCCAAACTGGCCTCTGACCAGAGCAATGACCTGCTCCCCACGGCTGTCGGGATGCCAATTTGGGAGCAGGTTAATGGAGAAAACGCAGAGCAGAAGCAGCCCTTTCCATCCTCAGCCTCAGCAAAGCTCCAATTGCAACTGAATCTAGAGAAGAGGGTCTCTCATCAGGTGAAGAAGGCAGCCCTCCCAAGGCAGTGTGGGATGTGAAACACAAGAGCAGTCAAGTACAACATTCCTAGAGCGAACATGTTTACACCTGGGGAGGAATGTTTGCCCAGCCAGCAGGTCAACTTCCTGTTTCCTTCTGGGCTGGGACAGACTTCCTCTGCATGTGACTAGAGGTGGGCGTGGCCTCACCTGTGCAGGTAAGGACAAAAGCACAGGGCAGGGCAGTCATCTCTCTCTCTTTGACTACATGCATTGAAGAAGCAACATCTGCTTAGCCAAAGATGCTCTCTTGGCCTCCAGCCAAGAGAGGACAACGGGACTGTCTCCTTATGAGATAGTTTCCAGGTATATGTTACTTTTCTAAACTAAGTCTGCCTTTTGGGATCCAATTGTGAACAGACTGATGTGTGAGTAAACCTTTTTATACTTTTATAGAAGACTGTGTTGTGTCTTATCTTTTATGAGGGAATAAGGGGAAAATACCAGAACAGTTATTCTAGAGGCTTTAGCAAGCCAGAGCAAATGCATCCGCTGCAAGTTTAAAAGGGGGAATGTTACTCTGGTAAATTGTGAACTTGTTAACACAGGTTGGAAAGGTTATTATCAGACAACATATCCTCTCTTGCATCCCTGAACATTCCCACAGTCAGGATGTGGATGAGCAACAAATGAATGCACACACCTGGAGACGGGAGCCTGGAGACCCCACCCCAGGCAGGCTGCCTCTCCCTCCATGTCACATCACCGGCCTGTTAGGAACTGCTCCCGGGTCCAGAGCTGCCTCTGTGGAACTGCTTCCTGCTTGCACACCCCAAGAGCAGCCTCCTTGCCAGTCGAGGAGGGTGAAGGCAGAGCTGGCCTCCTTCCTTTGCGGGGGGCCCTGCCCAAAGAGAAACGAATTCTGCTCCAGGGCAGGCAAGGAAGTGAAATGGCAGCTGAGCCCAAGAGCCGGTTTAGAAAACCAGGGGTCAAGCCCCAGTCATATGTTGGAGCACATGCAGAGTCCTTCCGCCCCCAGCCTTTGGAATGAGAGGGCAGTCCTTTTCCTGCTGAAGAGTGTGGCTTCTGTAAGATCTTGGCACCTCTTGTTTTTTATGTAGAAAATTAACCACTTGGCACGGCCAGCGGCTTTATATCTGGGTCCCCTGGAGCACGCTAAGGAAATATTTGATGAGGGTTTGTTGTGCTGCAATAAAATAATGGCTAAATCTAATAAGGCTACAGAAGCAGAGCCAAGAAGAATCTGAAGCTCCATCTCGGCCCCTGACGCGATCTGAGGCCTGGCTGTGCAGGGGGGCGGGGGGCACACAGACCGACATCTGCTGCCCCCAAGAGCCCCCTGTAGGAGCAGAGGCCTCGCCTGAGGTCCCCCCTGGCTCCCTGCATGGGGGGGGGGTCTGTGCCTCAGTGGAAGCAGAACCTGTGTTTTGCAGGCACTGTGGGATGAGTTTTAAAAGGCAGGAGAGGATATATTAATTGCAATTTATTCCCCCGGACCCCCATGTGTGTGAGCTGAGCAGCCTTCTAAAAGTCCCATCCTTAGCAGACAAATTAAAGCTTGTAGGAAGAGGCTGTGAAGCCTTCTTTTAATTAAGCCCAGCTACAAAGTAAGCTGGCTTCGCCCTTTCTTACCCCATTTAGCAAAGAAATCAGACGACAGACTGGAAAGTAAGTTTAGAATTTAATTCACTTGCTCAACAGTCTCACGTTGGTTTTCAGATATAGCAGCAGTAAAAATTATGCAGGTAAAATACTTTTATTTCGTCTCAGGCTTATGCCTGGGATTGGAGCAAGCACAGGGCACGTCTCCCCTCATGGCTGGTCGAGGAGAGAGTGGGGGGTGGAAACAGGAAGTGACATATGCTCCTTCCCTCCCAAGAGAGGAGGGGAAATGACATCACACAGAGCCCTCTCTGCCAATTACATTTTCTATGGTTTGAGTATCTGCCTAGCAGTAATGCATCTCTGTGGTATTAGCCCCTTCTCAGGCTGACTAGCAGAAATCTGCATTCGTTCGGTTTGGCTGATAATCTCCCACATGCAGACGGTCCCAGGTTTAACCCCCCAGCTGGAAACATCTTCTTCTGGAACTCAGGAGAGACTCTTCCCTCAAGAGCCCAGACTCCCCTTCCTGGCTGATGCTGCTCCTCTGCATCTTCCATCTCTCTTTGGGTCATTGAGCCAAAAAAGCCCCGGCCAAAGAAGAAGACCAAGGAGCAGCTTGTATCCCAAGAAGCAACTGGGAGGCCAAGAGGCCAGGAAGGCATCTGCTACGATGGAGGGTGGGCCCAGGGGGTGGGTGGGTTTGCCACTCTCCCCTCCTTGACTCACCACGTCCAGTTCTGGGCACCCCAGTTGAAGAAAGAGATTGACAAGCTGGAAGGTGTGCAGAGGAGGGCGACCAGGAGGAGCCATGGAGGAGGTTGGGGGTGTCTAGCAAGGAGGAAAGGAGATTGAGGGTCATCTTCAAGGATCTGAAGGGCCACCACAGGGAAGATGGAGCAGCAGAAAGCAGGACCCGGGCCAATGGATTCAAATGGAAAGGAAGGAGGAAGACTTCTCTAATGGAAAGAGCTGCGCTACAGTGGAAAGGATTCCCTCAGAAGGTCTTCTTTGGCGATCCCTCGTAGCCGAGTAAGATTGTCTTTCATGAACAGTGAGTTTTAACAGTGAGTTGTGACTGTGGAGGCCAATTCTGGATCCACACATCCTTCCACAGTGTGAACATTGGATT